AGGTGACTCCGCACGAGACTTTTTCTTCGCGGTAACGTGCGTGCTACCTTTGTCATGCATCGATGTTCTTGCTTCCTTTCTTGTACGGTGCTAGCGTCAACTCAACCGATCATCACAACAATGAATTTTGCTATTCACCGACAGTGAATTTCGGTTCGGCGGGGGGTGGAGATCGCACGAAGAGCAGATCGAGGCGAAGCACACGAGCAGTTTACCCAGCTTCGGAGCTCTCCGGAGAGATAACACTCCTACTGCTGCTTGTCTGGTTGTATTATGTTCTTGCTCGCGAGAGCTAAGTGTTTTCCGGCTTACGAATGAATCGAACCTCGCGAACCGAACCCTGTCTAACCTTCGAACCCCCTCTACGTTGCGCATGGGCCTCCTTTTATACGCTAAAGGGTCACCGACAGGTGGCAACGCAGAGAAGGGTACAAATGTAAAAAGTGAGGTGGTTGGTACAGTTACTTATACAGTGCCCCCTACCTAACCCTGACGGCAGGGGACAAGGGCATTAAATGCCCGTCTGAGTCGCCCAAACAGTGCAGAAAAGGACCGTTAGGGGCGCCACCGTTCGCCACGATGGCGATCTTGTCAGCTTCGCATGCCACTACGCACCGCTGGCTGCACAGCCTCCCACCACGCGCGCCTGGAAAGGCCCCCGGAGCGACACGTTGGTGGATGCGCTGGAGCGTGGGCACAGAGTGGCCGCCTGCCGCGGCAAGCGCCTTGCCGTTGTTGTTATCTTGTTGGGTCCGGAAGCTTGTCGCTCACCGGGCCTCGAGGTACCTTGGTTGGTCTTCCTGGCAAGCTCCTCTTGCCGGGGCCTTGTTGCCTTGCCGGAGCGTGTGGCGCGTCGCGGCAAGTTCCTTGGAGTGCCTTGGTTGGCCTTCCCGGCAAGCTCCTCTTGCCAGGGCCTTGTCTCCTGAGCTTAAATACTTTGTTCTTAAATAACTTCAAGGAAACCACGGAGGATCTTGGCGTTCTCCCGGCAAGCCTTGCCGCGGGGTGCTACAACTGCCCATGCACAAGTTCGGGGTACTAGGGCACCCCTATTTTAGTACACCGACAGGATCTTGTCCTCGCTCGCAAATGGGCGATGAATTTCGGCCATCACTTTAGACGCCATTGTCACTGCCTCCACGAAGCAAACAGGAAAACGATCCATCCATCGATATACAGTAAAGCACCAGCAGCATCCATCGAGCTTAGTAGTAATGAGCACTGGTGCCAAGTGATGACACCTCCCTGCCTCTGGAACGACAGTGCAGCTCCACCCGTCGCCGGCCGTCCGGCCAGCCGGTGTCAGTCAGTCACAGGCAGACGGACGGACAGGCAGACAGACAGCAGCGGCCCGATTTCTTACCACATTTGCATCGCTTCGACTTGATTACTTTGATTAGGTCCGAGAGATGTCCAGGGCATCGATCTCTGTATCTGGACGCGCCCCGCGGAGGGGACGTTTCTTTGGCCCTCATGCACGCATATCGTCGGATGGAACACGAAGGTCGGCAGGGGAAGGCCGGTCGTGGGTTCACGCGACGTCATCGGTGAGGTTAACATCGACCGTTGATTATCTGATGATCAGTTGGCTCAAGGAGTAAGTATGACCCGGCCCGATGATATATGAAAATTCACCACGGTTTTTTCTTCTCCCGAAAAGATGATCGAAACACATTTTTTAGAAAAAGAGGATGACCCCCGGCCTCTGTATCTGGAAGATGTATACGGCCACTTTATTGATTATTCTCGACGATCTTATAAAGTACTACAACAATGTGTCTAAATCCACCATCTTGGCAACACATGCCGCTACTCCTATTCAAAAAAAAAATGAAAGGATGCTAGCTCGGCCACTACCAAACCACTCATCTAAGCCTAACATCAAAAATCAGAAGTCGAAACATATTCGGAAGCCCCAACCGAGCCACATACTAGGTGTGGAGCACAATCCGGTCAGACGCACTCGTGTGTCGTCGCCGCCACCTTCCACAGGCCCGTCTTTAGAACATATTGAGACTTCTACCTTGTCTGGCCACTCTGCCATCGACGTCACCATGACGCCAGACAGCAACCTCCTCCTGTGCGAGTCCATCTCCGTGCATCGGACACCGAGCCTCCACAGCGCCATGCCGCCGATATCCGCCGCCATCGATGTGTGAGATGAAGTACCGCTCCACCATCCGCCCAGCCAGCACTTACTTCAAAACGATGCCCCCAGGAGGGAAATAATTATCGTCCGATCCGGAAGACCCGGATCTAGGGTTTCCCCCGGAGCATCCCGAGCCTGATGACGCAGACTGCAACAACGATGCCTCGACAAGGGAACAACATCTAAGACGCCGCCATCGTCCGCCATGACCGTAGTCGGCGCGATTTTCATCGGCAGTTGCTCCACCAGACGTGCGCCGCCGACGTCGCTGGTCCCTTCAACCGGAGCAAACTCCAAAACAATGCCCTAAAGAGGGACTACGACGCAAAAGCGCCGCCATCGCTCGATCCCAAGGAGATCTAGGGTTTCCTCCGTAGTTGCCCGCGTTGTCAAGGGCCAGACAAGGATAGAATCCCGCGGATCTGCCCAGCTGCCAACGAGTCGCACCCACCACCGTGCCGATGGCCGACCAGCAATCCGGCCGCGCCGCCGAGAACCGATCCAAACACGTCGCCGCCGTCCCTGGCGGCCGCGACGCACCAGATCGCAAGGCCTCCTGCCGCAAGGAATCGACGTCGCCGAGGCGCCGCCACCACCTGTCGTGGCGACCGGCCCGCCGCCACGCTCCGGCCCGGCGGCGCCGGCCTGCGCCAGCCCCAACCGAGCGAGAGGGCCCGAGTCCCCGCCGCCACCAACGACGGCTAGGCTTCGCCTGTCCTTGGGCGGCGGCGAGGGAGGAGGAGGAGGAGTGGGAAGGTTTGGCGGCGATGGGATCTGGGGCCTCCCGGTCGCCCACGAGGGGCGGCTCGGGAGGAACGGGAGCATCTAGATGATCGAAACACATTATTAATTGCCTTGTTTGTCACCGGAGTCGCAAAGCAGGAGGTCCCCGCGGGCGCATTGATGGGCTACCGTTGGGGACTTAATTAGCAGTGTCACACTTAATCTACAGTGACGAGCTAGGCTCGGAGAGGAAAGAAGGGCGTCCTTCTTCCGGAGGAAAGTCATGTCCCCAAAAACCGTATGAGCATCTCCCACGCTTCCCATTTCCC